TGAATCTCCAGCCCCAGTGATGATTGGATGCTGATGCTTCTTCTGGGGACCTGTGTCTACTTATTGTTATCAATTACCATTTACCCCTCCCTAGATGCACCCCAAATTAGTAAATTTTAGCAAAGAATGAAAGTCACAGTACTGTCTCTGTTCCCATCCTCACTCCACATTAAAGAAAATGCACTGATAAGCAAGTGTGAAGGAAAATCCCACAATGTGTCCCCACTTCTCAGGACTTTTTCAGGGAACTTGACTCCCCCCTTGGGAGATAGAGATGCCTAAAGAAATGATCAGAGGATGCAGGGATTTCAGAGGGAAAGAAGCTCATGAAATATGATGTAATCACCATCTCATCTGCTTTGAGACCAGAATCCACTGAGGCCTTTACCCACAAAGACTGCAATGGTCTCCACCAGGAGCCCCTGTGACAAACTTGAAGTGCAATAGGTCAGCAAGGATGGTGTCTCCTCCTGCATGGAGTGGAGGTGCCCTGAGCCCAGTGAGGGAGTGAATGACATGGTGGTGAGGAAGAACATGCATGGATAATGCTGAATAAAAGATAAAAAGATGGAGCCCTAGCCTGGGTTAGGCTGGAGGAACATTCTGAAATAAGAATACTTAAGAGTAGCCCTCCCTTACCCTTGTGCTCAAAGCTTTCTTTAAGAACTCTCTTGACCATGCTTAGCAATAGCCTGGGTTCTTGTTTATGGGGTACATAGAGTTTCTAGGAGACCTGAACTGCCATCATGACTCTACGGAGACAATCTCCTGGATGAGTTCCAGGCTCACTGATTTGGTTGTATGAAGGGGTTTCTTCTGTCCCTGAGCATACTGTGTATTCTGCTTGCCTATAAATTTGCCCCTACTATGGGATGGGGAAGGCTGGATGACCTTATTCATGGTCCTGTGGGGCCCAGGCCAGCCAGAACATAACACCTGGCCTAGAGCCCTTGAATTATTTTCCTGGTTTGTATAAATCCCATCACAACATCTCACCTTGATTTCTCATGTGCTAGATCAATTGAAAACAACCCTGTCTCTTCAAAAAGTTAAAGTCCAAGACAGTAATGTTTCATCCCGTATTAGAGACTTGATATCATGAAAATACACAGGCAGATCTTGCACTTACAATAAATAATTCCCTAGACTCTACCTGGTGTCCTCAGTGCCCAGCAGGTATAGGACTCATTTCTGCTAGACGAATGGAGCACGATATACCATTGTACACCTTTCACTTGGTTGTTGATAGGTAAATTAATCTTCCTTCCTAAATCTGTCACCTGAAATGCTGAATCCAGCTCATTCACACCCCTTTGGAAAGCAAGTAGAGGCTGGGGCAGGGTACAACCCCTTCTATCCAGAATAGGAATGGCAGCTTAGCATATACCTACACTTTTTCAGACCATTTCTGTGACTATGTCTGACCCAAACATGGATTTGGCACATGTCCACTCACCTGAACCCAGGCTGGAACCTGATCCTCTCCCCAGATACCTGTTCATTTTGTCCCTCCCCTGCACATAGTACTAGACAACCCTACTCATGAGACTTTTTAAGGCAGTACTGTGCCCATGTGACATTGCCAGGTCAGGGTGGGAGATAGGTAACTCTGGGAGAGTTTGCAGAGTCTTCCAGGAGTGGTCCATGTGTAGATATTGTTGTGTGTGAGCCTCCAAGACACGGACCCAGAGGTTGAGGAGAGGCCGTCAAAGATCAGCCCAGGGAGCAAGTGGCCCCCAAGCTCCCAACTTGCAGATCCTTCTCATGTTTTACCTATGATCTCCTCTATCTGAACAGGCTTTGAGGGTCTCTGAGTAAAGAAACATAGGCCTTTAGAGAGGGAGTTCAGAGAGCAGATTCAACTAGGGAGGGAAGTTTTGCTTGCAAGAGAACCAGACCCTGTGAGCAGAGCTTTCAAAGTCTTTGAAGGAGACCAGTCATAAAAGATGCATTTCACATAGGAATTAAGTACACACTCAACACACAAGCATGCACACACATGCATACACCTGAATAATGATTGACCAACAGTTTGCCTACCCTTCATTTTGATCTACTGCATCTATTCCAATGGGTAACTTTTTAAAACTCTTGTTATAATGCACCAAATAGATTTCATGAGCTAAGGAGCTCAAGTCAGAGGCTGTCATCTCTCCTGTTGTTTTCACACTTTACCCAGGCAGAACAGAATCACTCCAGCCCCTTGCTCAGGGTGGTAACCTCAGGAGGACTGTGTCTGCATTTTCCAGGGAGTATAGGTCTCTGGATTTTCCTGTGCCAGGGGCTCCAGAGACACTACACCAGACTCAGCACTTTTTGTTGTTTTAGTAGAAAAGTAATCTCTGACATCAGAAATCTCCTTTCTCTCCAGACCTGGTGAGTGAGCAAATTGCGTAATTGCAATGATGAGATACTGACTTAAAGCTTGGTGGATTGATGTGCAAGTCTGACTCGTTGAAGGGTAAGACTTCATCCAGCTGTCCATGCCCTCGTCTTTGGAGAAAAGAGCACCATAGTCTGAAGATGCTTCTTTTTCTTCTTTTTTTTATCAGAAAGATTTAAGAAAATTTGGAATAAGCAGGATGTTTAATGGGTGTCTCCATTGGAAACTATCCCAACTTTAAAGGCAATCTAGCCTTTCATACCATAGAGCTATTTCAAAACTCAAGGAGTTTTAATAATCAGTAGCAGGGTAGAATAATTCTTTTGTTGGGAATTTATTTCCATTCATTCAGGCTATAACAAAACACCACAGACTAGGTTGCTTATGAACAGAAATATACTTCTCATACTTCTAGAGGATAGGAATACCCAGATCAAGGCATCTTTGTTTCCGCATTTGGTAAGAGATAACTTCCAAGGTGGACATGGCAGAGTGGGCAGCTGGGTCACCGAAGTCTCTAAATCTTGAATCTCTGAAGCACTAATCCAGTCACGATCATTCTGCCCTCATGACTGAGGTACCATCCACAAATCTGCCGATTAATACAGAGCTTTGAGCTTATGAAATTAAGTGGAGGACATAAACATTCAGCTCACAGCAGTCATATAGATAAAAATCTGTCTGGGGAGATTCAGAGTCAAGAGTGCTAATCATTACAGTATGGAGCTGCCATTGTCTGTGGAGGTTTAATTGACTTCCCACTCTCACCTGAGAATATAGCACCTTTGTCCTGTTTCAGTATTTTTGAAATATAATTTTCTCTTTGGGGGATTTCTCATTTAACAAGTAATATCATCGGGGCACCTGGGTGGGTCAGTGGGTTGAGGCCTCTACCTTTGGCTCAGGTCATGATCCCGGGGTCTTGGGATTGAGCCCCGTATCAGGCTCTCTGCTCAGCGAGGAGCTTCCTCCCCCGCCCCCTGCCTGCCTCTCTGCCTGCTTGTGATCTCTGTCAAATAAATAAATAAAAATTTTTTAAAAAAGTAATATCATCTTCATAAGTAAGCTGATAAATAAAGTCTTTAACACACATTTATTTTATATATTTTTGGGCAATCATGATTCTCCCTCTTCTGAAAATTTTCCTTGCAGGACTTGCAAGATGGGGATGAGCATTGAGCACATCCTTCCTCTTAAAAGCATACTGGTAGTCCCATAAGACACAACTGTGTAGGTATAAATATTTTTAAAATCACAGTTTCCTCTCTCATAGTGAATGATAAAAGTCCCCATTACTAGTAACCTAGTAATATTTCCTTGAATTGCCATGATTTAATCAGATATCTAGATTTAAAGTCTGTGCAGAATTGAATAGGGAAAATTAGAGCTCTTATCTATTTCCTCTGCCACTTCCTGTTACATGATCTAAATCCCACCCAAATTCTCTCATGAGGTGAGGCAAATGGACATTAAGCTCCCATGAGGCAATTTTTACCACAAGGACTAAGTGCTTGGCTATCCCCCTTATGGAACATACGTCCTGATGGGCTTTTCTCTGACCCCTGCCTCTCCCAAAAGATAAGTCCTGACCCTATTTGTTGCAAGAGATGGGAGGTGAATTATGTCTGCAACTCTTCTGTGCTCCCCAATGTGTTGGCCTGACTGATTCTTTCTGCAGAATGCAAGTGTGTTAAGCTCTATATTGAAATTTTAGGAAAAGCAGAATGTCTGCAATAGTTTCTCATTGTTGTGTAATAAATTAACACAAATTTAACAGCTTAAGACAAAACCCCAGATTTATTGGCTTATAGTTCCAGAGAGAGTTATCCAAAATGAAATCTTAAAGGAGCTAAAATCAAGATGTCAGTAGGTGATGGGTATTAAGGAGAGTACTTGTTGTGATGAGAATGGAGTATTATATGTAATGATGAATCACTAAATTCTACTCCTGAAACTAATATTACACTATATGTTCACTAACTCTAATTTAAATAAAAAACTTGAAAGTAAAAATAAAATAATAAAATAAATCAAATCAAGCTGTCAGCAAGTTTGCTTCCTTCTGTAGGCTCCAAGAGACAATCTATTTCTTTGTCTTCTCCAGCTTTTGGAACCTGCCTGAATTCCTTATCTTGTGACCCTTCTTACATCTTTCTGGATCTTCATTTCTATCTCTGCCTCCATCATACCATCTCCTTTTCTTCATTTGGCCTTGCTTCCTTCTTAAAAGGTTCCCTGTGATTATATTGAGCCCATTTGGATTATCCAAGAAAATCTTTTCATCTGAAGATCCTGAACTTCTTCATACCAGCAAAGTGCCTTTTGCTATGCAAGGTCACACATTCACAGGCTCCGAGGTTCAGGATGTGAAATCTTTGAGTACTGTTACTCTCTATTCCACAGGTCCTGACTCTTGTGAAATAGGAAACATAAGAGTAGACAAGTAGTTTCTACTGCAGCATGAAAACAAAATTCATCAGGAAAAGTAAATCAGAGTAACATTAATAAATGTGAGAGAATGGGAATGGGCAGTTGAGACCTGTGTGTTTGCTCACCTGACATTGTGTCTGTTCTGCTGTTCCATTTGTCTTCCTAATTCACTTTCCTTTTCCCACAGACATTCCACAATCAGCCAGCATGGATCAGTTCCTAAATGACTTCCTGGTAGGAAAGAATTTTCAGCAGTTGGCCACCAACTTTGTCCCTCACTATACCACATTAATCAGTAAGGTAGGGGGAATCCTCTCTCAAGAAAATCTTGGTAGAATTCAAGCAACCCTTAAAGAGGCCAAGCTAAAAGATGTGGCTGACATAATTGAGGAATCACTTGTGGCAGCAGAGAATGCTCCACTGGATGTGGCTGTGATTGGGGAATCTGGCACTGGGAAGTCCAGTTTCATCAATGCCCTGCGAGGACTTAGTTATGAAGAGGAGGGTTCTGCAAGTGTTGGCGTTGTGGAGACTACCAAGAAGAGAACACCCTATCAACATCCCAAATATCCCAACGTGACCTTCTGGGACCTGCCTGGAACGGGAACCCCCAATTTCCAACCACATGAATATCTAGAAAGGGTGGAATTTGCTACCTATGACTTCTTTATCATTATTTCTTCCTCTCGCTTTAGCCTCAATGATGCTTCGCTGGTCAAAAGTATCAAAGAGATAGGCAAGAAGTTCTACTTTGTTAGAACCAAGGTGGACAATGATTTATATAATGAAGAGAAACGCAAACCCACTTCTTACAAAAGGGAGAGAGTGCTTCAGAAGATACGAGACAACTGCCTGGCTAACCTCAGCCACATTGGAGTGCCTGAGCCATGCATATTCTTGGTCTCCAACTTTGATCTGGATGACTTTGATTTCCCAACACTGGAAGAGACCCTGCTGAAGGAGTTCCCTGTTCATAAGTGCTACACCTTTGCACTTCTGTTGCCCAATTTGTCCGAAGCTTCCATTGAGATGAAGAGAGCTTTGCTCAAGGAGAAGATCTGGCTGGAAGCCCTGAAATCTTCTGCTTTGAGCTTCATCCCCTTCATGGCCTTCTTTAACTGCTTTGATTTTCCCCAGCAGGAAAAGTGCTTGAAACATTACCAGAGTCATTTTGGTTTGGATGAGAAGTCACTCAAAGGGACTGCGGAGAAGCTGAACATGTCTTTGGAGGATATCAAGAGTTTCACCAAATCCTTGAATGTCCAGTTCCTTGTGCAGGATGACAACATAGGAGAGAAGGCCATGAAATGTGCTGAATGTTATTGCTCAGTAAATGGAGGCCTGCCATCCACCATCTTCCAGTTTTTTAAAATCTACTTTCTACATTTGAAATTCATCAATACAGTGGCTGATGATGCTAAAATTCTCTTGAATAAGACTTTAGAGAGCTTAAGCCTCAGAAGATGACACAGAGATGGCTCAGAATGCCAATCAGCCAGCATGGATCAGTTCCTACATGACTTCCTGGTAGGAAACAAACAAACAAAAAATGGGCCTCAGGCTTTGTGTTCTGTAGGTGGGGTCCTCTTCCACCCACCAACAAGGCCAGATCTTTCCTAAAGTGAAGAGAATGTCTCTCCATTGGACAAAAGCATTGCTCCATACTGATACTCTGCTGCCATGAAAAGGGAATTTAACCATGACCTCTTTCTTCATTCTTTTGGCTATTTTGCTGAAATCATGATATAAAGTACATTGCATGGTTTTCATTAATTTCCATGTGTTATGAAGTAGTTTACATTTGCTCCATTTACTCAGATAATAAACATGTGGTAACAATCAAGATAACTGTTGTTCACTGGCTTTTCATGAATGATTTTCTCCAGTCATCAGATCAATACCCTCCTCACCAGAGTAAGGGCAATCCACAACTATGGGCACATATCTAAGTGAATAATTTAGTGTGTACTGGAACACTACAGGAAGGAAGGAAGTTGAAAGAGGACTGGGAAATGTTCCAGGATGTCATATTTTCAGATACTACAGGGGAACGGAGGGAAGGGAACAAATTCAGGATTTATCTTTCTAACACTTTACAAACATTAGATGGGATGAGAGACCTGTGAACAGGAAACAGTGAGGGACAGGAGGTATGAGAGAGTGAAGCTGAGTTAGGAATGAGACTGGAAAGCAAAGATGAATTCAATTAGACAAGCTGGAGGTATAACATGCTTCGCTTTCACCCAAATTTCCACATCAGACTTGTGAAATGGGGCCAGAAAAATCAAAATACCTGCTTCAAGACTCAAAGATAAGAATCCTGCTCTTACTATAAATGAGATTTTTCCACTTCTTCCCCATCACTGGTGTAGGATAGATATTTTATGGTTTAACAGGTATACATGGAAGAGGTTGCCCTCAGATTCCTTATTACTCTGAAGGCTCACTCTAGAGAACTGAGAGCACAGATGTAAAGAGGAGAGCACTACTAGCCCACAATTTCCCAACTACTGCTTGCTACCCCACTGCTCAGCAGAGGTGTGCAGGAGGGCAGAAATGAGTCAGAAAGGGAGAAAGTGAATGATCGTGCTACTTCATGCATAATACATATGTGAAATATTTAAAGGGAAGGCACTCTTGACCCTCTTGTATGGCCACATTGCATTTAACAATTTTTGTTCCTTAGATTTTCATACATGTTCCCAGTGCACTATTAACACTAGCAAGATCTAGGCTGCTTACTTTCTTGCCACCAAATCTCATGTATTCTTATAAAGAGCATGGGCAGTAAGCAAATACTCCATCTTTCTCATCTCATCAACGAGATGTGGCTGATACTGGTCTTACACAACTTTCCCCTCCTCAAGAAGTCATGACCTTTTCAGGATCCCTGGGCCTTTTACTTCCAATTTAGTAGTCTTTTTTTTTAAGATTTTATTTATTTATTTGATAGACAGAGATCACAAGTAGGCAGAGAGGCAGGCAGAGAGAGAGGAAGGGAGGCAGAAAGCCCGACGCGGGGCTCCATCCCAGGGCCCTGAGACCACAACCTGAGTCAAAGGCAGAAGCTTTAACCCATTGAGCCACCCAGGCACCCCCCAATTTAGTTGTGTTAAATTAAGACAGAAAAAGACAAATCCAAAGGGTCCATATGGGTCCTTTGGGGAAGACATTTGTGATGAGATGAGAGTTACCAAATACATACCTCTGTGGGATTTATTTTAAAGTTCATTTTTTTTTTTTCAGATGAGACAAGAAAATGAATCACTGTAGGAAAGAACTCAGAACTAGTTGGAAGTCGGAGAATAAGTTTTAGTGCTTTGGTTTTATCAGACTCATCCTAAGGTTAATAAGAGTGTTCATGTGCCTGGCTGGCATATATAAAAGGCCTAAAGATTTCCCTAGCAGTACAAAGTGTGAAAGAGGGAACTATTGAGAGGGTAGAGGGGTGTTAGGGTCTGGGAGGAAGAGGAGATAGAGCTGTGAGGTGTCTGCAATCCAACACGTATGAGCCTAGACAATCAATGGTAGCATTCAATTTTGGGTCTTTCTCATGTCACCTTGCAAGACTCAGTCAGTCTCTGTCTGACTGAAGCTTCTCTAGAAGGCACCATGATGACTGGCCATGCCTTTGGCATCTGGGTTGAGCCATGTCATTCAGAATCCCTTAATAAGCTCTCACTGTGACAACTTTTTTGTTCCCATGACTTCTCCTTGAAGACAAAACTTGCTCTCCTGACCTAAACTTGGAGGTAGTAATTCAGATCACTAGAGAGTTGGTGTTCTTAAGAAAGGGGAAACCCCTCACTTTAATCTTCCATTCTTCTGTCTGAAGACATCTTGTAGTCTTCTTACCAGCTGGGTTAGTGGTAATACAGTCTGTGTCCTAACTTCTGTCTAGCTCAAGGTCTGTGAGATGACATACTGTTTCTCTGAAGTAGGACATTTTTGGAGCAGGTGATGTGAAATTCCAGCTCCCAGGTCAGCTGCACTTCTCTCTCCTATTGCAGCAGCCCTAAGTCAACACAGCAAGGGACAAATGAAATCACATTCTGGGGAACATCATCAAGAAAAAGGGAGGTAAACTTTAATGATATTTGTTGAGATGCCTTTTCTTCTGCAAAATTGTAATCACAGAACTTTTATTGAAAGCTAATTGTGGACCAAGTTACTTCTATCATGATTGACACCCATAGCAAGATGAGGTTTGAAACGTTCATCACCCACTTTTTTCAAATGAAGCCCAGATTTTTTAGTCATTTGCCAAAAGTCACAAAGGTGGGTAATGAAGAAAGTGGGATTGGTCTGGACTCTCTTTTTATCACTTGCTCTTTGTGACTTTTTATTTGGGTGTCCAAACCAAAGCCTCAGTTGCACCTCTATCCATATTTGAAGCTTCCCATCTGGATCACAATGTACCTGATACATTCACTTCAGCTCAGATGCTGCACAGGTTAGATGCTTCCCCCAGAACAGAAAGACTTTATAAATGAAAACAATGACAACAAAACCAACTGTGTGTTAATCTGAGAAACTGTAAGAAGAAAGGTTGCTACTCTACACAATGAATACTAGAAAGCTTAAATAAAAAAAAAAGAAATAAAAAAGAAAAAACAAACAAACAAAAAAGAATAGAAAGCTTACCAACAGGCAGTATGGTCCATGTTACGGTCAAGGGCTTTGGCACACAATCCAGTTGCCTTCATTCATTTACTTTCTCAATTGTTTATTCAGCATTAATTAAATAGCACAGCATGTGAAGATCTAGAGCTCCTTGAGCAGCCCTCATCTCATTTCCAAATGAGTACTATGGATATTGCAGGGAATAAAAAGGACCAAGTCCCTGTTGAGGGGACTTCATAGGGGAGCATTGAGCTTTATTTCATAGAGGAGAAATAGAAGAAACAGTGGAGAAAGTGAAAGGTGACATAGAGTCAGGTTGTGCTGGTGCTAAGAAGAATAAAGAAGTATATGTCGAAAAGGAGGATATTTCAAATTGGTCCTTAGAGAAGGCCTCTCTGAAGACCTGGAAGTTGAGCAGAGACACAAAATATGCATATATGTAGGAAGAGCGTCCCAGATGGAAGGAAAAATAAGTGCTAAGGTCATGAAAATGCAAGGAGCTTGCCATGTCCATTGACTACCTGTTGGGCCCTTGGGGTGCAGTAGTGTGAACAATGGATGAGTGGTAGGAAAGGAAGTCTTTCAAGTAATCAGGGACCAAGTGATGTAGGACACTGGAGTGCATGGTATTTGCTTCAGAATGTATTCTAACTATGATAGAAACCACCACAGGAAGGGCATGCTAATTTAATCTTTGGAAGGAGTTTGGCAAGAAGATTAGTGTGGTGGTCAATGGGCCAGATCTAATGCACCTAAAGGTGCTTATTTAGTTGTTCATGTGAGACATGGTGGTGGATTGGTCAAGAATGAGAAAAGTTGTGAGAAGAGACTGCATTCCTGATGTATTTTGAAGACAGACTTTGTGGTTTTGTTGACTTGCTGGAAGAAGATATCTGAGGAAGGATAAAGAATCACTTGCTGGGTTTGTCCTGAGGAAGAGCATGAAGAGAAGTGCCATGCAAGGAGATGCGGAAGCCTCTAGTAGAATAGCCCTGGGGGTAAGGATTAAGCAGAACATTCAAGAATCAAGAGCTCAGAAATAGAATTGTGAGACTTGAGGGGTCTGATTAAACTCTGAGTGGAGTGTGGGTACAGCTGGATATTTGTCTGAGGGTGAGCAAAGAGTGTGGTTGTGTAGCTTTCTAGCTTTCTGACCTATGGCAAATCATTCCAAAACATTTCCCTTTACCATCAGAATGGGGATTGACTCACTCACTCAAGGAACTTGTGAGGTTACAAGTCCTAAATGAAGGCAATTAACATTTACACAAAAGAAGTATGGTACACTGAAAGTGCTCCATGAAGGCACTGGAATTATTAGGAGTTTCAATGTAGATAAATTAACTTGGGAGAGAGAGAGTGTCAATACAAACCTTCTCTCCAGGGAACATATGGGTTAATTTATTCATCTCCACCCACACCCACACACACACCATATTGGTATACACTTTTTTCAGCAACATTCTTGAAAGAAATTTCTTTCTCCATTGAATTGCCTTAGCAAGTTGTCAAAAATTGTTTAATCATATTCAGGTCAATTTCTGTCCTCTCTATTCTGTTCCGTTGTTGTGCATATCTATCCTTTCTTCAATACCACATTGTCCAAATTATGGCAATTTTCTGGTAAGTCTTAGAATAGGATGAGAATAGAGTGTGAGCCTTAAAACTGTATCCTTTTTTTTTCATAATTGATTTGTCTCTTTTTTCTGTTGTCTTTCCTACGTAAGTTTAGATTTAGCCTGTCTATATCTATGAACAAATGTTGGTGGGATTTTTATTTAGATTGTTTTGAATCTATAGGCTAATTAGAAGAAATTGGCATCATCACATTATTGAGCTCTCAATCTATGAACACACTTTGTATTTCCATGTATTTGAATCTTCTCTTACATCTTTCATCAGTGTTTTGTAGTTTTCAGCATATAACTCCTGCTCATATTTTGTTGTTTATACCTAAGTATTTTATTTATTTAGTGTCATTTATAATTTTGAGTTCCAATTTTTCATTGCTGGAACACAGGAATACTTTTGTAATGTGGCCTTGTATTTTGTGACTTTTCCACTCACTTATTAGTTTAGGAGGTTTTATGGAATTTGGGGGATTTTTTTGATGCAAAATAAAAGTATCCTGTGAACAGAGGCAGTTCTATTTCTTCCTTTCTAGTAAGTATACATTAAAAAAATTATTGTCTTATTGCACAAGCTAGGACTTTGAGTAGC